TATATATAATCACCCCTATTTATAATCACATAATTTTTGAAAACCAAAAGTGGTGATTATAGACAGGTCTGACTGTACTAATCTTTACTAATATAAGCGAAAACGATGGGTTATTTTCTGCAGATCAGTTAACATATAAGAATTTCAATAGTGATCAATTCCATTCCATAGATTATGTACTCGTTTTTCTTCCTTGAATTCTTAATATCACATATAAATAATCATTATGCGTATAATAACGTGGAATGTTAATGGGATTAGGTCAATAATAAACTATTATCCGTAAGTTTATTAAAGCGATTACTTTCAAATTTTCCTTACTAGTAAATAATTTTTATTTTTTTTTTCGAATTTCTAAGTTGGAATAAACACAGAGAATATAAGGTTAGTTCTTATATAGATAATATTTAAAGGAAAAAAAAAACTTTTTAAAGAGAATTTAATAGAATATTATATATTTAGCAAATACTGGATACACTAAATGCTGATATAATTTGTTTTCAAGAAACGAAAGTTACTATAGATAAACTAGATTCTTCCCTTGCAATAATACCAGGATATGACGCTTATTTTTCTTCTTCAAGAGGAAAAGGTGGATATGCTGGAGTCGTAACATATGTAAGGACAAGTACCGTTAAACCAATTGCAGCTGAAGAAGGAATCTCTGGCGTTTTAAGTGAAATACCCGCAAATGCTAAATCAAAAGATAATATGACGACAGCAGGAATCAAACCTAGTATTACTAGTGAATTTACAACAGATGAGTTGTTAGAAATAGATTCGGAAGGTCGATGCGTTACTCTTGATTTTGAAACATTTGTTTTGTTCAATGTATATTGTGTACATGAATCCTCTCAAGACCGACTTCCGTACAAATTAAAATTCTATAAAATATTACAAAAGCGTGTGGAAGCTTTGCTTGATTCTGGGAGACAAGTTATAGTTATTGGAGATTTAAATGTTACACATAAAGAAATAGATCATTGTGATCCTCAAAAATCAATGAAAGAGTATGGTTTAGAATCTTTTGGTGATCATCCGGCAAGAATATGGTTTGATAGTTGGGTTTCGCCGAATGGTCCAATGATTGATTTGTGTAGGAAACTTCATCCGGATGAAGAAGGAATGTTTACATGTAAGTTCTTCTGTTTATCATGGTATATTGCTCTTTTAAACAGATTAACAGTATATTTTAATAGGCTGGAATGCAAGAATTAATGCAAGGTGATAAAATAATTTCATAATATCTATCATGAATCTTTCTTTCTATGTAAAATTTATTAATTACATTTGTTGTAAATCAAATATCAGACCAATAAATTATGGTAATGTATAACTTGCTTTTTAAAATTTTAAATATAATAGCAAATTGATTTACATCTTATTTAGGAACGCGTTTAGATTATATACTTGTTAGTGAAGGCTTGGTAAAATGGTTTAAATCATGCGATGTAAAACAAGATATTATGGGGTCTGATCATTGTCCAATATTTGGCGAATTATTTGATGAAATACATGAAGGGGATCATAAACTTTCATTATTTAAGGAAGATGCTTTAAAGGCAACAACACCGAAACTTTGTGCAAAAAATTTGGCAAGATTTTCAGGAAATCAGCAAACACTGAAAAGCTTTTTTACCAAGCAGGATATAAGAGAAAAACAAGCACAGGAAATGAAATTAGAAACTTCGAAGATTAGTAATGATGAAAATGTAAAAAAAATAACTAGTATAATACCATCGGATTCATCAAGTTACATTTCTGAAGGTTTAAAAGGGCAATTGGAACTTGAAGGGAAGACAGGAAGTCGATATCTAGTTCAAAAGAATAAATTGAACCCTTCAAAGTCAACGACGAGTTACAAAACCAAGACAAAATCAAAATCATCATCTTCAAACCAAGCACCTTTAATGTCATTTTTCAAAAAAACCATTCAAGAAAAATCACCAGAAAAAAAATTAGAATTAGTAAACAAGTCGGAAGAAGAACGGGTAGAGTTAGATTCAGTCAATATATCTGATTCCTCAAATTCACCTGAAGAATCTTTATATGATATGCTTGATAATGAATATGAACGCACGGAGATTTCTCCCAGTAATAATAAAGAAGAAATACAATCTCAATGGAATGATTTATTCAAACCAAGGCCTATTCCAAATTGTATTGTACATGGAGAATCATGCAAAGAATATACAGTTAACAAACCTGGAATAAATCAGGGAAGACGATTCTACTTGTGTTCGAGGTAAGGAAAAAAACAGTTCACTTTTTTACTTTTATATTATACAAGTTCACTTATTATTTTCTTAAATAGGCCTGTTGGAAATTCTCAGGAAAGCCGTTGTGACTATTTTGAATGGGTCAATGGGAATAAATCCAAGTTTTCGAAGCCTGTAAAAAGATCTTTTTCAGGCCAAATTCATGATAATAAGTCAAACAAAAAGAAACGAGATTCTTAATAAATTTTACAAATTCATTAAATAGATTACTTACAAAAAAAATCTAATAAATATTCAATTAAAACAGAAGATACACACCCCTCATCGGCAATGTGACCGTTGATCAATTATGAATAAGATCAGCTTTTATATTTAATAGATTATGAGGGTGAGTTCTTTTTTCTAGCTATAACATTAAATTTTTTTTGTCTCGATATATTTTAACCGATTAAATAACTTGATTATTATAACTTTTCCTAAAATTTCAAATTGATGAATAATATTTTATAATTTTATGAATCATTTAAATTTTATGGTAATCTTTAAAAAGTTTTGTTAATAAATTAGTTAAAAGTTAACCAGAAAAAGGAATCTCACCATCTATTAAGGTTTTAATAAAAATTTATTAATTTGGTTTATTAAGTTATTACATTGTGACTTACATATAATTTTATTTCTGCTAATTAATAAATAAGGGAATCTAATTATCATCGCTCACTAATAACTTAAACTGAAATAAATAGATTTCTATGCAAAAAAAATAACCTCTCCATAAAAAATATCATCAATCTCGATATTTTTCAAAGAATTCATGATGAAATCTTTGTAATCTTTCACAAAATCCATCAAATAATTCTTCGGGCGGTAAAAATGTACTTCTAAAATGCCATGTATCAGCTTTTTGACCAAATCCACTACCAGGAACAACGCATACACCTGTCGCGTTAAGCATAGCTAAACAATAAAATTCGTCAGGTTGTTTGCTTGCTTGACGAGCAGCTTCAATTGATTTTTGTGGTAGACGAATTTGAGGAAAAAGATACATTGATCCCTTTAAAGAAAAACAAATTCCGTTAAATTAAAATGGATTTGAATGAATATGAGGTGTTCTTGAATTCGTTCATCTCACCTGAGCATTATTACACGTGACACCCTCTAATTGGTTGAAACATTCACTTAATTTTATGCTTCTCCTTCGTAAGCTCTCATAAATTCCACTTAATTCTTTTTGGTATAACGCATAACTCTCGTCTCCACATTTTGGTGGTTGAACCATTAAATCTACCATGATTTGTCCTTGAACATTGGGACAAAGACTAACTGATGCAAGTTTATAAAGTTGGTCAACAACGGGAGAATCAATACCCGTACATTCATAATAACCTCCTCTTCTACCACATTCTCCTATCATGCCTTTAGAAACTGAATGAAAAGAAAATAACTCGAATTGCTCATATTTTTCTCCCATTGATCTAAGGACTTTTTTAAAAGAATGAAATGGACGTTCAGCAGGCTGATAAATATTTGTTTGATAAACTTCATCAGCCATTAAAATAATACGTTCTTTATGACAAAAATCTATAATTTCGCGCATGTTTTGTTCTGTTAAGCATTGACCAGTGGGATTACCAGGGTTAATAATTACAAGCGCACGAATATCTAACCCTTTCGAACGACCTTCGGAGAGTGACGAAGCTAATTGACTGATATCTAATCCCCAATCTTTCTCTTCATCTAAATAGTACGGTACTGGCTGTGCATCATAAAGCGCCAAAGTAGCAGTATAAAGAGGATATTGTGGTATAGGTATCATGATACCAACGTTAGAATGTGCAATTAAAAGTTGAAGTATACTTTGAACACCTGCCGAAGCACCTTGAGTAAGGAAGATGCTACTTTGCTCGGCAGGATATCCATCACGTTCTAAATTAAGAAATTTAATATCGAAGAATTTCTAAATGAAATTTGAAAGAAATTACCAACCTTCGATGAATTTTGCAACATTATCTCTTATACAAGGAATTCCCTGAGAATGAGAATATGCGCCAATACTTCCGATTTGTTTAAGTAGCCTTCGTGCACGTTCAATTGCATCTGTAGGGTACAAAAATTCGATTTGCTTACGATTTTCGGGCAATAAAAGATCAGGATATTCCATTAAGGAAGCGACCTATTCAAATAATAGAGTATATAAAAAATTTGAAATCGAACTATTTCATAAATAAATAGTAACATACTTGACGGAAGAAAGTTATGGGTTTTTGTTTAAGTTGTTGTGGATTTCCAATATTACAATTCACAACAGTATCGAAACGATAATTGTGTGAATATCCATTAGACAATTCATCTTTGATTCTTTCGGCGCAAATTGCCAATTCACCACGAACAGCATATTCTACCCTCTTAACGTGAGGGTTAATGGTTTCGTAAGTAAGAATTTTTGAAGGTTTAGACGCTAAGTAATTTTAAGCGGCGATAAAGAAAATTAATTTGAAAGCAATGCGAATAACTTATTTGGTCCAACTTAGAAAACTAACCTTGTTGTGCAAAGTTGGAAACAGACATGTTAAATTTTTTTATATGAATTCGTGAGTATTGATTTATTAAAAAAGTTGTCGACGTTCGATTACATGCAACGGCAACAGAGAAATAGGTAGGTTTATATATTTTTTGTAGCATCATAAGTCAAAAAATATACGTAACAAAGTTTCGAGATTATCTACTTTAACAATAAAATAATTTTTCAGAAATGATCGTCGAAAAAACGCGCTCTTTTTTTTTGGTTCGTCAAGATTTGTCTACTTTGTATTTTATTTGTTATACCAAAAAATCATCTGATAATAATAAAGCATTTATATAACTTAAACTGACTTAAACTGAAGACGGAAAAGGGGGGAAATCCGATTTTTTTGAAATTATTTTAACCAATTAAAAAATGGTAAGAATTGAGCAGATAAATTCCAAATTGATCTGTTCCATTTTAAAATTTTAACCAATCATGTTAATTAAACAAGATGTAAACAATGCTTTATTAATAGAGAAGATAAATAATTCTTTTAATCATGAACTAAATGAACTAGAAGATGATATTTTCAAACTAATAAAAGTAGCTCTTTTTGCTTTATCTTCTCATTATCTTATTTTTCGAATACATAATATTGTTAAATCCAAATATTAGTAATATAAAATATTACCTTTATATGTTTTAAAAAACTTTACGAATGGAAAAGCTGCAGTTTAATAGACTAGTACAAATTTTAATACTTGTTATTAATAAACATAATTTTTAAAATAGAATTGTTTAATAAATATATTTAATTTTAATTCTAATTCCAATTTTAACCTTTTAATCCTATTTTTAACTACTAATTTTAATTTTTAAACTTAATTTCTAATCATAATTTCTAATTCTAACCCTTTAATCCTAATAACTAATTCTACCTTTAATTTTAACTTTAATTCTAAATTTTTAACCTTTTTAAATAAGAATTTGTATTGAATTCTTATATAAGAAAGTTACACATAATATAAGAAGTGTTAATGAATATAAAAATCTAATTAAAGCTTCTCAAATTTTTGAATATTTTTATTAACAAAATTATAGATTTTATTAACTTTATGGAAATAAGACACATTAAATTATCTCTTTAAAATAATTCAACTTTACTTATTTTTGAAACTATTTAAAATCTCATTGAATATATATAGAAATTAACTTTTCAATTTCAAAAATGAAATAAATATATTACTAAAACTTTTTTTAATGATCTTAAGCATATTTATGTAGATTTATTTTTGAAAAATCACATAAAACTTTGTATTATTTATACTATATTAAAGTCAATACATAAATCTTGAAATAATAATGAATGTCATTTTTTTCAAAACAAACTTTTACTTTACTAAATGAAAGCTCTAATAATAATTTTTATATTATATTGATAAATAATTTCAAAATATTAATAAATACTACAATAGATTAAAAACTAATAAAAAATTAGATGATAGTTTTATCTTATTGAAAGATTATACTAGAGAAATATTTTAAATTTATAACTAGATAGTGATGAAAATACAGTCAAATCTAAATACATTTCTCTTGAGACCGAATACAAGGGTGCATTTAGAAAGGGTGTGCATTAAGAGAAATATGTAAATTAATAAATTTTAAATTATAAATTTATTTATTTTTATCATATTAAAATATATCAGACATTAGATTTATTACATTTTTAGTAATATACTATCAGTCTAACTAAAATTGATAATGATATACATAATACGATACTAAAAAATTGCTCTAAAGTAGTTTGTTTTAACGAACCTATTTTAATTTCTTTAACAAACCTCTCAAGAATATTTACGAATCTTAAATATTCTGTGGCATTTTCTTGCTGAAGTAAAAATGCACGAATTTTCTCTAGACTTCTTGACGTAGAATTTACACTAATAAGTTCAATTTTAACACTATCATTTTTTTTGTCTCCGTCTCCATCTAAGCTTTCATCAGACCCTTTTTTAAATACATCTACAAGTTCTGAGATAATATGATCTTCTTCAGAAATTTCGTAAACAATATCTTCTTCAGGAAGAGCTAAAAACTCTTCAACCTATACCATCTGAAAAGTCAAGAGCTTTAAATGTATTAGTAAATTCTTTAAGCAATAAATCAGTTTCTTGATTATTTTCTCTATCTTCAACAATTTTTTCAATAGGAAGAATTTTGGTATGATGCCAGCAATTATAAATCATTTCAGTTGTATAACAGCCTTAACATTTTACACAGATAGCTCCTAACTTTATCCTAAACTTGAATAACATATGTAATTCCTTGTAAAATATCCATTTTTTAAGTTTTGTACAGATTTACCTGCTTTAACCTGTTCTAACATCCATCAGATTTGATGACGATGATAATTTTTTTGAATGTCATAATGATTCTAGCATTCATTGGCTGAATCTTCGATGTTGTATTTAGAGGTAAAAAATGTACATTAATATTTTGAAGTATCATTCCTTCTACTTTATGACTTAGACAATTATCTAAAAGTAATAAAACACGTTGTCCTCTATATTTTCTAGAAATCTGTAGATCAAATTTTTAAAGCCATTCTTGAAAAAGAGTTAGTAATATCCATGCTTTAGAATTGTTTTAATAAATCATTAGTAAGTTATAAATATTAATGTTTTTGAAACATCGTGGTTTTGCACATTTTCTGATAATTAATGGTTTTAATTTATGTGATCTATCAGTATTTGAGCATAAAGCAATAGAAATGCATTCTTTATTCTTTTTACGTTCAAAAAGACATTTTGTAGATATTGTTCAGTCTGGTTCCAATAGATAAAAAAGCCCAGTTTCATTCATATTATATATTCTTTCAAGAGGATAAGCTGCACATTTTTCACGTAATAATAGTAAGGCCTCAATAATAGTAACATTATCAGCAGAATTAGCTTCTTCATGAAGTATTTTCTGATGAATTCCATTACGTTTCTTAAACTTATGAAGCCAATCAGAAGAAAATTGCAATGTGCCTTCTGGAACTCCTAATCCATTAGCGAGTAGTTTGGTTTTTTTAATTAGCATTGCATCGCTTAATATAGTTTGATGCTGATAACTTAGCACAAATTCTTTAAGTGCTAAATCAAGTTCTGGAATAGTAACAGATCAGTGTCATTTTGTTTCTGGAATAGTAATTTCTATAGTAAGTCGTTTATCATTATTTTGTAATATTCTTGTAATGGTAGATTCATTAAATCTAACTTCCCATTTTTCTTCAATCTAATCTAAATACTGAGCTCAAGTTCTTTATTATCCTGAGCATAAAGACAGAACTCGCGTTTTTGAGTATCAGTTAAAGTTTTTTTTTAGGTGGCATATTATTATCATATAGGGAAGTATTATTTTTCTCTTGTATATTTATATTTGTATAATATAATACTCATATTATTATAAAACTTCTAACATTTGCAAAATTTACAAATATTATAGGACTTTTAATATCCGTAAGGTTTTGACATTTATAATGATACAATATCTAAAATGGTAGTATCTATAAGGTAAAGTTCATAAGGCTATATATCTGAAATATGCAATATTCATATATCTGGTGTCTATAAGGCTATATATCCGAAAGTATGCAGTATGTAAGATTATGTATTCAAAATTACGCAGTATCTGTAAGACTATGTATTCAAAATTACGCAGTATCTGTAAGGCTATATATTCAAAATTACATAATATCCATAAGACTATACATCTGAAAAATTGAATATTATAAAAGTTAAGTATTCTATACATTGTTTTTTTTGTTTTTTTATTATATAATTAATTTAATATTAAAAACTTTAACGAATTTAAAACTTATTTATAAAAGTATATATAATGCTAATTGCTTTTAATATTCTTAAAATGATTCTTAAAATTATGCAAATGATTCGATTATTAAATGATACTGAAATATTTAAAATGATGCAAATAAACCAATTATTTAATGATATCAAAATACTAATTAAATAAAAATCATATATCCTTTATTTACAAAAATTCTTTATGGTATTAGAATTATATAAATCAGAATTTATTAAATATAGTCACGTGACGTGCATTTAAAGAATAAATTTATTATATAAAATAAATCAAAACTCTTGCACCTGCAGAATATAAAAGGTGCATTTAGTGTATAAGTCTTAAACTTGGAACTGAATCAGAGCATGCATTTAAAGAGGATGTGCATTTATAGAAGATGCATTTAGAGAGGTTTGACTGTATATTAATTTTTTTTATATTAGAAAAACTTCTAAAAGCTCCAAAATCTTAATTTCTATATTTATTAAAAAAGCTTCTAGCCAGCTTAGAAAGTTAATTTCTATATCGATTTTTTATTATATATTAAAAAAGCTTCTAAGACTTCTAGAATTGTAATTTCTATATTGTAAATAAATCTAATGAAATATAAGTCTAATAGTCCTTATTACCTTATAAATAAGTCTAACAATTTTCTTAAGTCTAACAAAAATCCATAAATAAGTCTAACGAAAAATCATATGACTTTTTAAATTTAATAAACTTTTCTATATATAAGAATACCTTTTATACAAGTTAGCTCATTAAATAGCATAATTGTTAAATAAGTCTAATGAGATTTTTGTCCTAACTTTTCCTTAATCAAGAATAGATTTAATGTAGGTTAGCTTACTAAAAAGTATATTTTATATAAAAGTTTAACAAAATATTATCCTTGTAGAATTGTCCCAAGTTTTCCTTAGTCAAAAATGAATTCAGCATAGGTTAGCTAATCAAATAGTATAAAACTTTAACAAAAAAATATAAAAAAATAAGTCTAATGAAAATTTAGTAAATGTTCATTGAATATTACGCTCTCAAATTCTAGCAAAATTTAAGTAAAGAGTTAGCTGAAATAATCTTTCTATTTATTCTGACCAACATCTATCACAATATATTCTCACTTTTCTAGTTTAATCAAATAAAGGTATTCCTTATAAAGAGAAATATTAAGATTTGCAAATGCATCACTATAGGCAAGAATCATTTCCTCATAAGTTTTTTCTCGTGTTTCAGATCAAAATCTTTCACGTATCTCTGATCGAAGCCTTTCTTATATCTTCAATCAAAGACTTTCTGATCAAAACCTGTCATAAAACTGAATAACGTAATAACTTCTAACATAATCTGGGTATCAGCCATAAGCAGAAGCAGTTGGCTTATCACAATTAGAATATAGTAACCGTTTTTTTGATTTCTAATAAAATTAGCATTCAACAGGTCTAGTATAGTACCAGAAGTCTATACTTAACAATCACGTGACTTTGTTTCAAATTTCTGGCACTGATTACATATCACGTGATATAAAATCAGCCAATAAAAAATGACCAAATTTTGTGTAATCATAAAAATGTATATTAAAATAATAAGATGCATTTTTTATCTTTTTACTGAATTCTTACATAACATTTTAGAATAACGAGTTAAAACAAATTTTAATAATGCGAAAACAACCAACACTGCTATAGAAATTATAAAAGCAGCTAAGTATTATTATTCTTATTATCTAACTGATCCATTATTCTTTCAATGTTTTTAGGTAAACAACAGTGTGATTTATATTTGCTAACAGCCCATTTAGCAGCTCTATCTTCTAACCCTTTATTGTATACATCCATGTACCTCTAAGACTTACGTATAAACTTATAAATAGTCATTACAGGAACATTAATAAGAACTTTTAGAATTTGTATCAATAAGTCAGCAAAATTATAGTTGCATAGCTGCTTTGTCTCCCACTTCGCAAACCTCCAATATCATTCTATGAAGTTGCATTCACAATGAAATTTTGGGTATCTTTCGAAAATATGTTTTACTTTAATTATTGCTTCTTCTAATATTGAACGTTATTCACAAAAATCAGTATGTAGTGACATAATTCATCATGCATAACAATTAAGCCTTTTTGGATTAATATCATCATATTTCCCAGAACACTGTTTACACATCAAATGAGTACCCTTTATTGGCTAAAGATTACACTCTTTAAGTACTTGCTTGATACCCTTTAGCTGCCTTTTAATTGATGATTGTTTGAAAATATCATTGATTTTATACACTTTTCTCCAGTTTCATCAATATACTAACTATCGTGTATCTTAGATTGTGCTCCTTCAGGACTTAAATTTATTCTCATTGCAATTAATGCATTAACTGCTATCACATTATAGTTTGTAGATTGATCAAAACAAAAAATTTTGATGCAATATCTCAAATATTGGAATTGCTTGATATATGAGTTACATTTATAAATGAAAAAAAAATTATTAGATCTTTAAAAAACTTATATACTTCAATATTAGGTCGATAAAAAAACCTACCTGATCTAACATATGTTTTGACTTCCAATATCTATCCATTTGTATAGAACGAAGAACAAAAGCTTCTTTATTTTTAATATTTAGATTTGTTTTTAATTGTTCATTAGATAATTGTAATAGTCTATGATATGGACAAAGGAAAGCTAAAACTATGATAAAGTGTCCTACATATTTCGACCGTAAAATATCTTCATCATCTCTCATTCAAATCTTTCATTATCCATCATTTGCATAAAAATAGCATTTATCATGTATCACCTAGACTAACTCTTTCTCTCCTGACTTAAGCTGAGATTCTAAAATATATCACCATCGAAATCTTTCATATATTTCTGATATTCAAACATTCTTTTTAACCTTCCTTCTTATATATCACTACATCTGACCGCTCATGTCCATTATAATAAACTCCCTTTTTCTTCTTATCATACTTGTATCCTCACAAATACATATAGTTTCAACAAGTCTTCTCAGAAATTGTGTCTTTCTTAATGTGGCCTATTAATTTAGAAAATAATATTCCTTCAATATATGTTTTTAAAATTCTGAAGAAACATGATTCTGATTCTTGTTATTGTAATTATATTTGGCAGTTTACCTTAAAATCTTCATCATTTAATAAACTTTCTAATTTTATATGTCTTCCTTGGCAATAGATTAGAAGTTCTTCTGTTTGTATAAAATAAGCACTCCATTTTTGAATATATATTGCCATATAATCACCTTTATTTAACATGATTTATACAATTTGATTGCTAACATTCATCTTATCCTGCCTATCTAGTAATAACTGTATATACCTTCGTATACTTAGACAGCATAAATAATTGTAAGTAAAAATGTTGTGATTTGTTTTTGCTGATTTTGATATTGAATACTGCTGATTTATTTCTTTTAAGCATATTTGTAGATTTTTTATAATTCCAATGGAAATTAAAGGACTTTATGTGATTTCAAAAAATAAAGATAGAGATATTGAAGATTCTGAAAATAGATGTGACGGTTACAATGATCATGATGAGGATATTCTAGTCGATGCTTCAATGCTTTCAAAAAATGTTTCAAGTTTCTTCATTCCCTTTGCATCATGTTCTAATTCTTTCTTTTTATTTCTATTCCTCTAGTCTGTAATCCTTAAATCTTTGGTATATGCTGCTCTAATGTTACTTATAGCATTTTCATGCTAGTGAAGAGTTTCAATAATAAACCTGTTTCCTATTTCTTCAAATTTTCTTAAATCCTCTTCCATCTAATGATTAATGATTTCATCTTCTATTTTAACAGCTTTATCAACTTTGCCTTCTTTAATGGTTTTAACTTCTATCTCAAAAGTCTCACTAACAGTTTTGTCAATTTCTTCTAATTGAGACACATAATGGCCTTTTTTTCTGAATAATTTGCTTATTTGCTATTGTCTCTTTGTTTTATGTGACATATCAAATACTATTTAATTTTAAAATTAAAATTAAAATCTTAACTAAATTTGATAAGAATGATCAAGTGGAGGTGTATGAATTAGAAAATAAGAAATATTAAAATGATATTAAAGACCTGTAAGAAAAAATAAAATAATAAGCAATTTTCTGCCAAAAAATCCTATAATAATAAAAGTTAAATAAATTTGAGACTAAATTAAAAAGTATATCAAAGATTTTGAGTTTAATTATGATAGATAATTCAGGCTGGAATTAGGATAATGCTAAATGTTAGCTTGAATTATCATAAGTTTTGACTAATAAAATTACATTCACATGATTCGATTTATATCGATCATATAAAAATCATATAATTTTAAATACTTATAATATTTTATCTAGATCTTTTTTCAAAAATCTGACCAGTAATTTAATAGTACTCATCTTGGAGAATAAAGTTATCAGTTTATTTTATTAAAATTTTATTTTTTTAAAATGCTGAAAGATTTTTAAGTGTTACAATTTTATCATAGAGTATAGACTTTTGGCACCATAGAAGCTCTCCCATAAAGTTTTCTAGTATTGCAGAGAAATGGGCAGGAATATTCACTGATTATCTTATTTTATATCATTAAATATCAAAAAAATAATTAATAAATAGTTAATACTTTAGTTTTGGAAAGATAACTAGAACTATTTTGACAAGTCTGTAAATATCGTCTTCAGTGATCGAAAAGTGAAAGGAATAGGAAATAATTAATTAAAAAAAAATTTTATAAGTAAGTAATAGTATAATAGTTAGAGCTAACTATATATTAAATATCAGATGCGTATCTTAATTATATCAAAGAAATAAGTATAGAGATAGCTGATTTTAATTCAATTAGTCTTACTGCCTATATACCTTTACCTGAAACTTTACCAAAATGTAATAATAAAATTATTAATATTCAAAATAATGATGATTGGTATTTTAGCTAGAGTGTTTTAGAAGCTTTGCATCTAGTTAAAGTTCATCCAGAAAGAAATCTGCATCAGTTATATGGAGATTTCGTGAAAGAATTTAATATGGATAACATCCCAATTCCAGTAATGGTCTTAACACCAGTTTATAAAAAGTTCAAAGAAAATAACCTAAAAATCAGTCTATATATCTATAAATAGTATAACTAGAATAAATGTCTAGACTTTTATTATGTTTCAGAGAGAAAAGGAGATGAATATAGGTCTATAAATCTTTTAATAATTACAGAAGAGGATAGAAGCTACTACTGTATTATCAAAGACCTTCACAAGTTAATGTACAATTATAGCAAGCATAAAGAATGAAAATACATCTGCCAATATTATCTTTATATATACTCTTCAGAGATAAAATATAATAAACATTTGTCAAAATGCAAGGATTTAAATAATGCCTCCTAATGACCACAAATGCTGATGAAGAATAGGAATATCAAAGCTTTCTATAATCATAAATGTATGTAACCAAATCTATATTGAATAATCTGAGATCTTGAAATGCTAACTGAAAAGCTGATTCCAGAAGAGAAAATAAAGTTAACCTATATAGAAAGGCTATAGATGTATAAGCTATATGGTTATTGCTATATGATATTCATATGAAAAGTTCACTTAATTATGAAATTATAAGTCATAATTTATATAAAGGATCTGATGCATTAAAAAGATTTGTCCTCAAAATCGAAGAGAAACTTCTAGTTATCTAAGAAGATTTATCTGCATTGGCTGAAATGATAATAGCATCAGGAGACTTGAAGGCGTATAATAAAGCAATTGAATGCTAGATTTGTAAGAAATTTTTCTTAAAATTAGCACCAGAGGTAATACAAAAACTTGAAGAAGCAAAGCATAATTTATTAAAAATCAAAGAATGGAAATCATATATAGAAAAGGAACATTCTGAAAAGAAAGAAGCACAGAAAAGATACTGAGAAGCTTTAAGTGTACTTAATTGAAAAGTAAAAGATTATAATCATATAAATGAAAACTATTGAAGTTTAGCCTATAATACTTATAATAAAAAGTTGTGAATAGGCTCTTTTGAAACTAAAGTACCCCTTATCTGTCATAATTTCTGGGAATATGACTCTCATCCGCTTATGAAAGTTGTGAGCAAGTTCACAGCTAATAAGCTAAATTGCATCCCAGAGAATATAGGAAAGTACAAAGCCATAGACGTAAGACAGCTTCAGTTCTTAGATAACTTTTAGCACATGAGAATGAAACTAGATAAATTAGTTGAATGCTTAGGTAGAAAAATTGAAAAATTCCTTCTAACTGTTAAGTACTTTATGGAAAAAGACTACTTAATAGATAAGATAAAGCTTCTTTTTTAAAAGGGTGTCTTTTCTTATGACTAGACTAACTTATAGGACAAGTTTGATAAAACAGAACTTTTTCCAAGAAAAGATTTTTATTCGCTACTTAGTTAGTAAAATATTAGTAAGGAGGATTACAAACATGTGCAAAAAGTATAGCAAACATTCAAGATGAAAAACTTTGGAGAATATCATAATCTATATCTTAAAACAGATATACTTTTGCTTGCTAATGTATTCATGAATTATACTATTATGTGCTTACAAGATGATGACTTAGATCCCTCTCATTATGTCTCAGCATCTGGAATGTTTAATGATTCATTATACAAGAGCAGTAGAGCTGAACTTAAGCTTATGATAGATATAGATGAGTATTTAACAGTTGAGAATGGTATTTGTGATGGCATGATAATGGTGAGTTATCAATATGCTAAAGCTAATAACCTGCAATGTCCCAATTATGATCTAAGTAAGCTGAAGTCCTGGATTATGTATGAAAATATGAATGCTTTATATTCAGGTGTGATGACCTAATATATACTTACAGAAATTTTAGGTAAGGTAGATCCAGAAGAAG